CGCATGACCACTTCACAGGAAGACAAACCTTTCAAACGGATCACTAAAAACGGCAAGTCCGTTAAGCTCGACTTGCCCAGTCGGTCCTCCAGAACACGGAAAAAACTCTGACTCGCCGCAATGGTGGTGAGATTGCCGAGGAGAAGTACCAGGAACGATCCCTCCGCTCTCATTCCAATATGAAGGACTTCCAGTGCATGACCTCACACAACACCAACAATCGTCCCTTGTGTCATATGCAAGGCCAAATTGAATAGAAATGGCCGTCTCCCTCGCAAACGTTAAGTAGGAACGGAGCATGATATGTCCAAAAACTCCCGACAGCCTGTCAATCTTAACGAACGATGCCAAGTGCTCCACAGGAGTAGCAACTGAGAACCAGCCCTTTCCAGTACCAGAATCCCTCTGCCAAACCCCCGAAGTTCGGGTCAACCTCTGATGGAACTTGCTGAGCAAAGCATAAGCCACATTCAGGCGTTCCGTTTCAGGCACTCGGCTACTACCACTCCGCATTTGCAAAGGAAACGAGGGCACTCCATCCGCAGCGAGCAAGATCTCCTGATGTACAAACCCCCCTCATGGAGCAGGGGGCGGAGGTGACGCACCAAGAGCAAACGCGGTCGCAGAAAACACTCGAGCAATCTGGCTCATGTACTCATTGAACACCTCCATGAATCCAGAAAAGTTCGGAACAGGTGCCTCATCAATCTCCGTCACAATTGATTTGATGTCGTTCGTACCAATACACAGAAAGACATGCGTGAAGGTAAATGACGGGTCCAATCGCAAGTCAGCAAACACCAACCTCCTCAGCTCCTCCGGACTCTTGGATTGACCAAATGCAAAAGACAGGCCGCTAATTGAATACTGCAACAGAAATCAATAGGAAAAACTTCAGATTGGCATTCAGAAAACTACAACACTAATCATCACATCGTACCTGAAAAACCTGAATTTGCAACCCATCAACCAGATGAGTGAAATCGAAGACCAACTTCTGAGAAGCCTTCTCCAGTCAAACATTTGAGACAAAAGTCTCCGGTCCACCAGCAAGTCGCCAGTATGCACTTAGCGAATCACTTATAATCAGCACAACAATCTTGATCCACGGCTGATTCAGTTGCAAGGGACCTGAATGCGGGAATTCTGGAGTTCCATGAGTCCAATCTTGAACCAAACATCCAGGAATGGGGAGTTGGATCTGCCCCAATACTTCCACATGCTTTGCAGTGATCCCCAAGTTTGCAGCCGCATCTCGTCGATATGCAACCAAATCTTCTGGCTCGTAGCAGCGACTCCAAAGGACACAAGCCAATACATCTGAAAAATTACAATATCTTTGTCAAACACCAGTCCAAAAATTAAAACATCTCATCATGACCTTACCATCGGTCAAACCATTGGCCAACGCAGCATGGGGGACGCGAAATGCCTGACAAGGAGGAACAATGCGATCTGAAGGATCCGCAGACTGGACAGCTTGTTCACGACGCGGTGGTACCGCAAAAACCTTAGGACGTGCTCCGGACTCAGATGACGATGCGTCAGATCCAACACCAACAAACGAAAATTGTGAAGTTGAGGCCCTTGAGGTAGATGGCCCAGTAGAGGTCGCCCCAGTCTGGCAAGAAGAGCCGGCAGCAGATGACGATGCCGCAGAAGCATGAGAATCATCTAAAACGCGGCGAGGTCCCACATCCAAAGTGGACGGTCTCTCAGCAGATCCCGATCCAGAAGACGATGACGGCACCGGCGGGATCTGGTTGCTCTCCATGTACCTCAACTTCAAAGCATCTAACGATCCCACATGGATCGTCACGCGGGTAACACCGTCCCCACACGTCAGCGTAGATACGCCTCCTGTTAGCAAAAACAACAAAGTTGTCAAATCGAGAAAACCAATTGAAGAAAATTAAGCAAAAAATCAAACCTTCTTGAGAAAGAGAGCAACTCGGCCCTTCCTCGAACCAAAAAACCAGGCTCCCGTTGAAGCGACTAAGAAACGACGCCAACCCAAGAGAAGCAACACAACCAAACTCCCGGTCAAAACTCTTAGCTTGACGTTCAGCCTCAGCCGCCGTGAATGTCAACATCACCTTGTGCAACTCGCACATTTTCCTCTTTTCGTCCAATAGCTGGCACTTCACATCCAGCTTTGAGATTGACTCCTCTATCGACGACAGCTTTGCCTTCTTACGGGAAACACGCTCCTTGCAGTTCCTCGTGTCCGCCTCAACTCCTCGTTTCACGGATCGGGCAACAGAACGACTGTGCACCGCATCCGCAAGATCCAACAAACTTGACCACTCCTTGGCGTTTAAAGATGAGAGCCGTTGAGCTCGAGCGAAGATCTCCAAAGGAAGGTCCAAAACAAAACGCGAGACTTCGGCGACAACAGCATCAGGCTCCAGAGCAGCCTTGGGCGCAGCAGAAGCCCCTTCGAGAGGAGAGTCCTCCAACGATATCATCTCAATCTCTGAAAGAACATCAAGCGAATCAAAATTTAGCTAAAACAGCCTACTCCAGCGTCTATTAAAACTCAAAAAGCTACCATTATCAGATCGAAGCATCTTCTCCGACGGAGCCGACGAAGCACACAAATCCGAAGTCTCCTCGTCAATCACTGCAATACAGCAAATACAACAATTACTTTCAGGTACCATAAAAACGGGCCACAGCAAACAAATCAAAATTTCGGCAAGTTGCCATCAAATTCCTGAATTAACTCCTGCAAACATGTATCAATGACAAAAGATAATCTAGCTACAACTCAGAAAATTACTTCCAAACTTCATGAAAACACTTACTCAACGGATCGTCGAATCCAGCAGCCTCTCCTGAGTTCCGTTCCATCACAAAGTCCTCTGAATCCAACGTCGAAACAATGAAACAATCCAAAGTCTTACTCAAGCTATCTTACGAAAATCACTTTTGTATCTTGCTCAAGCTACCTTCTCAAGACTATCTCCGAATCTTAATCAAGCAATTTCTCCAAACGATATCACGAATGCTTACGCCTGCGCAAATCAACTCGTAGCACTTCAAGTAAAAATCTGAAATCCTAGCAGAAATAGCAAACAAATTCAAGCAATTATCATCATGAATCTCAAAAGGAAAATTACGCAATCACTGTCGAACACGCCCAAATTGGGAAGGTATCTGCTAAACAAAAAGCAGAACCGCAAGCAAAAGAAGGAAGACCAAGCCCACGGCCAAACTGGCAAGGCGTCTGCCGAAAAATGCAGAGCCTCAGCAGCACGAAACGCACGAGAAAGCCAAACTCTGGAAGGCAGTCCTGGAAGTGGGAGTAGCGACCCCACTTCCGCACAAAGATAGAAGGTTGACCGCATCACAAAAAAGGAGAAAGGCCAAAAAATGGCAAGGCAACCTGAGGATAGAGGAGCTCGCAACTCCCTCCTTGCACAAATTCTATTCAAATTCACGAACTTGAGGACTGACTGCACAAAAAGCTACGAACACCGATGTAGCCTAACTTGATCAATCTGCAATCTCAAAACAGTCACATTGACTACTGCCAATCAAAAAACAAAGGATAGAAGAGATCCTCCTAGCAAAATCCAACAATGACTAGTCACCTCAATCATTGACTACACTTATGTCCAAATACGGGGACAGCAAGCAGCCTTTTTGAATATGCACAGAAGGAGGAGCTGCGCAATCAACAGAAGCAACATCTCTGCGAACAACACCAACCTCACGAAATGCTAGCAAGAGAAGTATTCACCAAAATTCCACATATATTCCTTTTCTAAAAAGTTCGGAAAGGGCCTGGCCAGCTCTGGAAAAACTTATTCAACCACTTTCTAGTCACGATTGCATTCACTTTTTTCACACTTCTTGCTTCGATAGCAACCTCTCACTTCAAGCGACGCAACTTCAAGTCAACGTCAGCAAGACTTCAAAATCAGCAAACATCAAAACTTCGACAAATCTATCAGGAGTCGGAATCCGACAGGAAGCTCCGAGCAAGGAGAAAAGCCAACTGACGAGCGAATCAGCACTCAAGTCTCCCTTTTAAGGGACAGGATCAGCAACCCCAGAACATTCGAGCAAGTTCGAAGACATTGTTTATCCCGGACCTGGAAGAGGAAACCGGTTGTAAAGCAATTCCGAAGTTCGAAAACCGGCTTCAGCACCCGACTTCTGCGGAGGCCTGCACTTATCCGGATTTATTGCAGAAACAGTTGGCGACAGCGCGCATATTTTTTCGTTCGCAAACTCTATTCTTTTTCTCTCTTACTATTTATCACCTCGCAACATGACGCAATTTTTTCCCTCCTAAGTATCTTTCACTTCCCAAAACGATGGCATTGCTGTTGATTCGGAAAGTAAAAGGGGGGGGGGGTTTATGTCAGGAAAAAATCCAAAGACAAGTAATTCTTGCACAAATCTTTTAAGGCGCCAGACAAAATTATTGACGCATTTTTTCAAGCCTGAGAACCAAACCCAGGTTTGGTTCCCAGGCTCTCCCAAGGACAGTTTTCCCAACTTCCAAAAGGAAGGAATGAAAGTGGCCAAATCCGGCCTTCATCTCTAATCCCAAAAGTTGTAGTGGTCAACCAAAAACCACAGATATTTCACTCTGCGTTGAACTCTCGAACTGAACAGATCTCCGGAGACCTCGTGTGTGAAATCGAAATCTATTTACCCAATCCCAAAATCAGGCATTTTTGCACTTGTCTAAAAAACCTCTTAGTTGTTCTACTCTGTCCTGTTCTGTTTGAAAAGAATATACCAACTTATAATAGGACGATAAGTCCCGGCCGCAGCCCGGCTGATTAAAGTGTTTTTCATTTCTCTCCATTTCATTTGATTCACTTCACAAAATTCGTATACAGTCACCTCTTGGAACATTTGCACTCTCTTTTCCACTGAAAAATTTCTCGCCGGAAGGATGCTTTCAAGTTAGTTTCCGATGTCTAATTTTTGATTTTTTTTTGAAAATTTGAAAATTATTCTGCTGAATACAATTTTCAGATTCAATCCCTGGTGACCGAGGTTTTAAATAATCCTTTGAAAGCAAATATTATGACCTGCATCCCTCTCAACAGAAACTCGCTCATGTCTGTGAGTTATTAAAAAAAACAGCAATATGGCTATTGTTCGATTACTAATGGTTTTTTTGTCGTTTCAGGCTTTCACAACAATCATCACCTACCTCATCATCCTTTTACAATTCAAACAAGAAAGCCAGAAATCTTAGAAAATCGAAGATATCCCCCTTTTTCGGAGCAATAATAACACAGCAAGATCCATCTTCTGCTATTACAGCCTTCGATTTTCACCGTGTCGAATGTTTGAGCACTACAGTATTTGTGTTTTTTTCTTGGATTAATGTACTTCGGAAAATAAATAAAAGTCCCTCACTTGTTCCCTTCATATTTCAATTTCTCTTGATATGTGATTGAAGCACGGCATTCGAAAACGAACTTTTCTGGTGAATTTTTTAAAAATACCAAAAAAGCTCTGTGTGATGAGTTTAATGACTCATTATTCAAGTCTTTCAGCTGAAAATCTCTCACCAATTACAATGGCAGTAAATATCTAAACTAAAAAATCCTTGAACGAAAGGGAACTTTCGAATAAAAGTGTGATGCTAAGAACTTTTTGAACGGACCGAAAAGTTAAATAAACGGAGAGAAATTTGAAATTCTCTAATTATTTTTACTTATATCGTACTTTTCTGCTCATTCGAGGGGATTTTTCATTCGCTCGATTCTTCCATAAAGTAATTCGAGATACATTCAATCACACAACATTCAACAAGAAATAAAAACAAGCGTCAAAATCCTGCGTCTACGAGTTCAAGACTTCCCTTATTTGAAATTCTAATGATTGCTTACGATCATGTACTATAAAGTTCATCGTTTAACTTGGAGAGCAGTTCCATTTTCTGCAATACGATATTAAAGAACTTGAATAGGCTTTTTTATTTATTTATTCGAAGCAACACTTCATGTCATTGAGGTACACTCTTGAAGTTGATTGTCCTTCGAATATTGGCTATATTCAGCGAATAAGTTATTCAACATAGGAATCGCACGACAAATTTTATCCCAAGAATAAAATGACCCAAACTCTGGGGTTGACCACGACTTTCATGATGAGTATTACGAAGATTGAATTGCTGCCGTGAAAACCGAAAGAGCGAATTTACATATTTAATGCCGCGCCTTTCGTTTTAAATCGTGCGCATGAATTCATAAAATTGTAATAATTGTTTCCGGTAAAAAACTGAGCATGAAATACGTTTTTTCATGAGGTACATTTGTTACATCTAAATCTATCTAACCATTTGATTAATCTGTTTTTAATTTTCTATTTTTTCGTAATATACCCATGAAGCCCAAAAAAATGCGTATATACGAAATTTTCCTCTTTCTGCCAGAAAAGCATGCCTCATTACACAACACGCGAATAATATAATTCAATGAAAATCATGATGATTAGCTAAAATATGCCACGCATTTAGTATTTTCACCCTACAACAGCAGCTAATATCTCATGAAAAATTTCCGAAGTACAGAAAAACACGCCCATGAAAATTGCTAAGCAAACTGTTTCCAAGGTCTCTTTTAAAAATGCTCCACAAGTCTTCTGGCCAATAATAGCATGTACAAGAAGTCGAAACTGCGAAGTTCCCAATATTGCAGCCATACAGCAGGAATGATCGGCAAAAGTCGGCAACAGTTCTGATAAAAATTTACTCATCGCCGGCATTAAGTATTTTGGACTTATATTTAATGGTTGTGAGAAATGATGGTCGTATATTTGATCATCGAATTTCTTTTAGATATGAGTAAAAACTTTTCTTAGTAAAACTGTACAAAAAGTCAAATGTTTTCCCCTTGGACGGGACAAAAAGCTTGTCCAGTTAACGGCATTATTTAAGTTTTTGGGTGAGTTGCTGAAAAGTATTTTTGATATCATCAGTTATTTTCAGAGTGGTTATCCGAAATCGTTGCTCAACTTCAGCAGTGGTACAGACGGAAAAAAAAGAGTTCTTATATTTCTGAGTGTACATAACAGAAATTCTTAAGTTATCTCTGATGGTGTCGGAGCAGTTTCCTTGATTCACTACCTATAAATCGATGATCTTTGGCACAAAAAAAAAGTATTCATGGTAATCATAATTTCCCTATACTTAGCCGAAAGAGCATGCGTCACAAGGACACGCAAAGAAATTTGAATTAAAAGCATGATGATTACGCAGGATATGCCTCATTATATATACCAGCACTCCACAACCATGCAGCTAACATCTCATTAAACATTTCTGAACTCTTGAAAGAAATTGAGGCCGCACACCGTCATTGGAAATTGCCGAGCAAACTGTTTCCAAGGCCTTTTTGAAAAATGCTTATTTTTATGCCCTCTGACGAATACTGCGATCCATAATCGAAAATGAGTCGAAACGTCAAGTCCATATTTGCATATACATATTTAGCCGGCGTACATCAGAAAAAAGTGTTCGAAATTTTTCATCGTAATTCGAGTAAAAATGTTGAATTCTTTTTTCGCAGTGTGAAATATAATTTTATTCACTACCTTCAGATTTGAAAAACACCTTTTCTGAGTTTAAAAAAAATGTACTCAAAGTCAAATGTTTTCCCTATCGATGGGAAGAAAATCCAAAGAAGCTGTGAAGAGAATTTAAGCTATGGTGAGCTGCTGAAAATCATTCTTACTCCATCCGTCATTTCCGGAGTGATTCCGAAATCTTTGATCAACTTCATCAGCAATACAGATGGTAAGAAAGTTTTTCCATATCACAGCATAGTTCTCATATGTGAGAGAAATTGATTTTTCAAAAATTGTCTTTCGTATCAAAAGCATGCTGGGGATATATTTACTCCTATCCACGCATTTAAAATTTATGCATTTGGGTTTTGTTTATTGGAATAAAAAGCGATGAGCAATGAGCGATGAGATGACAACATGAATTGAATTGAGTTAAAAACTGAATATGATTTGTACAAACTGCTCAATTGTAACATTTTTCCGAGATTATTCTTTTTCATGGTGATGCCATGCATTTTAACAATAGTGCATGTAATTCTGTTCATGAATTTAGATGGATTTATTGGACTGTGAAGACTATTAGCAGAAAATATAGAAAGTTGCATCATTAACTCAGGAAGAGCTTTTTTTCATTATTTTATTCATAAATGTCCTACAGTGGAAATTAGCTGAACTTATTCCAACTTTTTTACCTTTTGATTGGGACCATATTTCAGCAATCTTGAATTAATGTTGCAACTTTCTGGTTGACCACAAGTTTGAGCACATCTGACTGCATTTTTAATTCACATTAACATTGAACCTTGATAAGTCCAAGTTGAATACCTTCCAAATTTGAATCTATTTCACGTTCCTGACTGTATTCCCTTAGAAAAAAATGCATAAAACATCTCTCCAGCTCAAAGGCTTTTCCTCTATATCCTCCTAAACTCAAATTTTCTGAGGCCTTTTTTGATATTATTTTTTTGACAAAGGAAAGATAATAAAAGCAATAAAAAGTAACTCAACACCATAGCAGCAGAGCTTGGAAATATTTGCAGAATTAGGTGCCATGCAGCATACAAAAAGAAAAATCTTTATCAGGTCAGGACAAGAGCCAAAATTGGAAAAACTGCAGAAAAAATGTTCCCAAAAAATAAAAAATGCTCTGTTGGGTGGCATTTTTCCTGCATTCCTGCTATAGGATTAGTATTGCAGGGGTCAAAATAACAATAGGTTGAACTTTCCCAGATTTTCCCTGACTTTGCCTATCCAGCCAAGGCTTTGGCAACCTGGGGGCATTTCAGTGACCTTCAGTCAAACTGAAATTTGCAAGCCTGCAAAAATATCCCGGCTCCACTCCCAATAGAAATCTACCTGCCACAATGCAAGGGTTAATGTGTTTTGAAGGGAAGGGAAAGATTAATCATAATTGGGCAATTAATAAATCCCTGCCTCCAAGTCCAGCAGCCTGTCATAATTGAACGAAAAAAAATTTAAGGCCAAGAAAATCACTATTTAAAATTTCTTGCAGTTCTTCCATGCTTCCCACAACAAAAATTCTTGTTTTCCTAACTTGAAACCACCCTAAGGTGAAACCTCATGCCTGAAGAGGAGCATATTTTCATTATTTTCAGCTTCTTGGCCCCTTCATTTTGGGTGCCAGAAGAAAGGTCCCCATTTTGTTGGAGGCCACAAAACATTAGCAGAAGAAGTCCAACTTTCTTGAAATCTCAACAACACGTTTTTCAACTACTCATATATCAATCAGGTGGCCCTGCATGGGCCACATAAATTGGATTTCATGGTCTACAACAAACTTTAAACCTGGGTCCACCTGAGAAAATCTCAACTGAGAACCCCTTGCCAAAGAAGGGTTAAAGAGGTTGCAGATTGAAAATTAGCTACAGTAGAGTAAAGATTTTTATAAATGCTTCTTACCACTTGATTTGGACTATGCTGCAATGATTTTGAATTTATTACATGATTTTCTGCTTGACCAGCACATTAAAAGCATTTGTAAAACGCATATTACATAAGAATACCCGCGTTTCATGCGTTGACTATTCGTATGAATAATTTTTCGACCAGGTTTCGATGAAATCGGCCGAAAATGTCCTGGCAGGTCATGGATCCAATGGTTCGGACGTTCCAAGGTCCAATTGCTGTACACACTTTGCACCCAGCTCCTTTTTGTCGTGATTTGCGTATCGGCGATTGCTTTAGCTTTCGTCCGCAATTCAGAGTCAGAATCAAAAGCCATGTCCACTGACGAATTCGTACTCCGATTCAACATCTTGGTGATGATGCTGTGTTCTGTGGCCAGTACCTGGACCTGGATGTTTTATTCTGTAAGACTCTTGTCAACGTTTTCTCTAACGTGACGATGATGATAATAGTTGAAGCGTTATTTATTCTCATGTCACCCAAATTTGACAGACACCGAGATTGGCAGAAGCTTGGCAACAGTTCATGGCAAACCAAGGTCCAATAAGTTTCAGCCCGGGTCTTAATGCTGAAACACAGAGAACCACGGGTATCAAAGCCAGAGGAACTGTGTTGTGCGCCATTTTTGCCTACCTGATTGCGGTCGCAATTTCAGGTCTTGAGACTTTCACAGCTTTGCAAGGATACTTGATGACGCTGCCAATGATTTGGATGTACTGCGTGATTGCTGGCATGATCTATGTGTGAGATGGATTCAAACCTTCAGCTCAAAATTGGTTTCGACCAGCAGCTGCACCTGTCGGATGTTTCAGAGACAATTTTGCCAAAGAAAGCCTTGAATTGAAATTATCCTTCAATGTTGAAGTTTTCTGGTGTGCAGATGAATGACAAATGTGGAGAATAACCGCTGATTTCGACCATATAACTGAGAAATAAATTTTTTACAATAAACTGATAAGAAAATGACTACAGGAGTAATTCAATTCGCTGAATGACGAAAAATCTGCCCATTTAACTCTTTTAATTATATTCAGATCAACTCAAAACTGCATTATATATCCTCTTAAATTTCAGCAGCTGATGATGCATTGCAAATTTTGAAGTTCAAGAAATCACTTAAAATTGGTCACACATGACAAGAAGTTTTGAAGTGCATTAAAGGTGGACTCAACAATGAAACTCACAGGACCATATAAGTTTGCTGTAGAGATAATTTTGCTGTAGAGAACCCCTGCAGCATAAGGAGAGTTCCCTATTAATTGGGACAAAAGAAAATTTTGCTATACAGATAAAATCATTGTGGACATGATCATTGTAAATAAAGTCCAGTAACTGTATTTGTTTTTCCATTGGAATATCATGGTTTATCATTTCTCGGGACACAAATCTGTTTTAAAATTTACTATATGTTTTGCATATGCTCTTAATGAGATGAGGATAAACCAATATTTCCTCAAAAAATTTCCATCTGGACCAAAAAGTGTGTTAACCCTTGGATGTGGCAGAGGGCCCCTGGCTGTCTTGGAGCAAAGTTGGGATTTTTGGGTAGGAGGGGCATTTCAGTTTGAAAAAAGGTCACTGAAATGTCCCAATAAGCCGAAGTTGGGAACAATCCAGGTGCAAAAAATCCCATTGTCTCAAAAAATACCCAATATTGATCCTATGCAGGGCATGCATGAAAATCGCCTCCCAGTGAGAACTTATTTATTTATTTATTTCTGAGGCAACATGTTCTGAAGGGTTACGAAAAAAAATCTTGGATTTTTTCCCAGCTTATGCCTTGGTCCAAAAATCGGATTTTCAAAAGTTTGCAAAGCTCATGGGGACAACACTTGGCAAAAATATCCCAACTTTGCCACACAAGGGCTATAAATGCCAGTTTTTTTCCACTGCAAACAAATTGTAATAATTATGTACAAATGTAACTACTGATGTTGGTCAACCTCAAAAAAAGGTAGACCTCAGATAATTACTAACGTAATATGAACTATTTGTTTGTGCTTTTGCAGTATATTGTTGGCTTCTTGGAGCTTTGTATCAAGCATGGTGTATCTCCTGGCCTGCTATAGAATAGCTAAGCGCTTCTCAGTCGAATTCAACGCACTTATCACGAGAATCATTTCTTCAGCCGGGACTGGGACTTCAATAACCGACCCCATCATCCCGCGGAATTTCTCCTCTGACCCCAGTGAAGATTTTGGTGAGTCTCAAATTTTTGAACCATTTTCCGCATCATTTCAAGGAAAAAATTCATTTTTTCTCAATTTTCTTTCCCAAAACTGGGGCGCTTCTGATGAAAAATGCTCATTATTTCAGATAGTCTTAAAATTTGAACAATTTGAAGTGAAGCTTGGGATAGACAGTTTTTAGTGAAGTTGTTGAGGCATAACTTGCATCAACACAAATATAAAGTTCAAAAAATTGGAAATAAAAGACAGAATCAGCCTGGGACAAGGACAGGAATCCTCTTTCAGGATTTCATAGTTTAAATTGTTTGAAATATGTTTCAGTATGTCCCAAAAGAATAGTTTTCAACACCAAACACTTTTTTAACAACTCAGCAGAACTCTTCAAGAAAATCCTGCACTGCTCACAGCAAAAGTTTGATGCAAATGTGGCTCAAATTTTGTTCTTCTGTGGATGAAAGAAAAAATGGAAATCGGTTTCTGGTTTCTATTGTTCTTGAGTGGTGTAGTTTGCCATGAAGAGCTCCTTCCCTTTGAGGGTTGGTTCTCTTATCTGATGCTAGGTTTTTGTAATTTTTAATAATTTTAACTTTTATTTAGCGGTGCATACTGGTTTCCCAACAGAAGTCAATTCAGGTTGATTCTTGGTCTGGACAGCGTTTCTTTGTTGGATGATGGGCAAAAAAAAGAAGCATGTCAAATAGTTGACAGCATTCTAAATGAATGAATGAATGAACAGAACACCTTATTTCCTGCTTTTCAACATTCACAAGGTACAATAAAGATTTCCACATCCAAACCCCCTCCCCACCCAACCCAAATCCCCTCAAAGACATTTGATCACTTCAAAGCAGGAAACAAAGCACAAGTTGATGACAAAAATAAAAGAAAATACAGTCCACAAAAGAAAACTTGACATTTGACATGTCTGCAGCATAGACCCACTCATTTCCAGACATTGAAAATAAAATAGATATAAAAGTTTATTTAAAGAACAAGGTCTTCAGCTTGTTTCTGTATGACGTTTAGTTGAATGAACAATTTAGAGAGAATCTTTGATGAGAAATCATGTAAGGCCAACAGTTTATCTTGATCCTTTAAGATGTCAGAAAGCATTCTGAATTATTATGGCATATATATTGCAGGATGTCGGTATCATTAATTTATTGACAGCAGCTTAGATTTCAGAAAGATGAATGCAGTATTTTTTTCTCACCACGCAGCAGGTTTGGAAGATGATGAAGCACAATTTAGAAAATTCTCAAAATTTGCAATGATGAGACGTGTCGAGGATGACGTGGAGAGTCTGCGATTGGCCTACGTCGGATTCCGGAAAAATTTCGACAACTTTTTCCAAGTCAACAGCAGGCAATTAACCTTGTCATATGCTTACGGCTGTTGCATCACGATGACTTCTTCATATTTTGCTGCTTCAAGGACACTTGATGGTAATTTTTTCCATACCCAAATTGCTTTTGATATCGAAAATCGAATATTTTTGAGAAAAAAAAAATTGTGATACGCAGGGAACAGATCCTTGGACTTGGGGATTATTTCCCATTGGATGACGAGTCTCATGGGGATTTCAGTCCTGGTCCTGCTTTGCGAAGTCGGGGAGAGAATTTGTCAAACGGTTTGAACTGTTTTCCGCTGAATTGAAACAATGGCAAAATCAAGCCAACGAGATTGTGCAATTTTCATTTATTTCTCATTCGAATTACAGGCACCACTGGGAACATTCGCACTCTCATATCCACTGAAAAATTTCTCGCCGGAAGGATGCTTTCAAGTTAGCATCAGCCGGATGCATTTTTGTTGTAGTTGTTGTTGCATAATTGATCTAATGAATGGCATTTTCAGATTCAATCCTTGGTGACGGAGGTTTTGAATAACCCTTTGCGAGCGAAAATCATGTCCTGCGTCACGCTCAACAGAGACTCGCTCATGTCTGTGAGTTTGAAATATACTGTACCTGTATTTCAATTATCATCATCTCGAAATGCTGATGCTTCCGTTTTCTTTTTTTTAGGCTTTCACGACGATCGTAACCTATCTCATCATACTTGTACAATTCAAGCAAGAGAGTCAGAAGCAATAGAAAATCGAGGATTTATCTCCGCTTTTTGAGCAACAATACAACAACAATTTATTTCCACCGCCAATCTCAACACCAGCTTGAATGCGATCAAGTGGATAAATTACGTGTTTTTCATTGATTTACTGCACTTCAATGAATATTGAAAAAGAGTCACTTGCTTGGTTTTCCATTTCCTGGCGCGTTGTGGATCATGATTAAAGCACAATATTTGAAAACGGAAGTCGTTTTTTATTTTGTTTATGTCTTGAATGCGAAGCTCGTGAAGATGAACGGGGAAATTCTTTGGAATGGCGAAGCTTTTTGACCAATGCTGGCTGCGCTGATTAGTCATGCAACTATTTAAAATACGAGATATTATATCTTACAATTTTGAAAACACTCGTATACTATTGAACGAAATGCAAATTCGAAAAGTATAAACAAATGCGATGAAGCATTTTTTCTGCAACCATTGAAAAATAAGCATCACATTAAAGAAACACTTATGTTCCTTGTTTCTTGGGAAGATTTTATGCATTCAAGGAAGTGTTGCATATTGTGGGCCTGTCCTCAGCAATGTCTTCCTCATCTATATCTGTTTTTAAAATTATAAGTCATACAGTCAAATAGAAAAAGCAAAATTTGTAGAAATATTAAGCTTACGTGTCAAATAATTGGAAAATGTCGAATTCTTTTCTCGTTTTGAATCAAGGAACTGCTTTGAAGTGAATGGAACTGTGTTGGAACTGTCAGAGACCCTTAGATCTTTGACAAAGACTTTCAAGGAAATAAAAGAAATGCACAATAGGCCGTTTGTGGCCAAGACCAAGTCTCCAGGAACTGTTGTAATTTTGCACAAGTTGTTCTTAATTTGGAATTTCACACACTCAAGGAGTATATTTGCTGTGAGAATCTCAAACAAAGTGAGGTTTCTTTGGTGGTGTTTGTGCGGTGAGCCACAAAGAGTAATCCAGTTTTTGGTACAGGTTTTCATGGTCAGTAAGTTTGTGTTGGAAGTGTGATATTTCGATTTTCGTGTTCGTGGCATGTCATACGTGTTGTGTTTTGGGCAACTTCTAGGAGTCCCTGATAGGAACGTGATAAAAAATATGCAAAATTGTTTCCTCCATCAGCAAGTTATTTTACATTGAAACTTGGAGCCCTCTGAGGAACTGTGTGAACTCCTTGTCAATCAAGGAGAAAAAAGCAAGTAGAAACAGTTGCAATGAAACTGCCCAAAAATCAAGAAAGCCTCCAAGTCTTTCTTTAACAATATAAAGATGCTAAAAAAATGTTTCAATTTTTTGGGAAAATTTCAGCAAGTGTCTGTAACTCAAGCGTCAAGCCAATGTCCAGATGTTGGGCCTGAGTTTTTGGTTTTCAAGAATTGATAAGTTGAATTGTCTGTATGTTGGGGTGTCCGTATATTGGGGTTCTACTAAACTCAAATACCGTGAGACCCCCACATGCAGACACCTCAACATGTGGACAATTCCACATGGGGACACTTATTTTCCCATAAAAGATTGATAAAAAAGGCCCAACATGAGGACACTGACTAGACATAGGGACATTTTGTGATGAAATTGCAAATAAGTTTAAGGCCAAATTAAAAGAAACAGATTTTTCAACCCTGAATTGATCTAATTAAAAAAAAAATAACCGTCACTATAGAGGGACTTCTTTCTCTCTTTTTCACTTGAATGTTATTTCTACAGAGAATGCCAACATTGATATATACTCTACAGAGGTATCACTATTCAATTCCCCAAATGTCCATAGTGCGTTGAAATATACAGTATTGATCAAATCAGTTTAAATTGGGACACAATTTTCATTTTCATGGAATTGTGGTGAGTATTTTGTCCATAAAAAAACAATGAAAAATTAAATAATAAGTGTCTTTGAAAAAAAGACTCAACTTAGGGACATTTTGACTTAGAGAAACTCTTGATGCACCAATTATGTCCGCATCTTGGGGTCTCACTGTATTTATGTTTTGTTAAGTTATTCCCTGACACCCACTGACCCACTTCCCCTGACTATTATATCTCTAGAATTTGAGCGAATTTCCAAATTCAAAAGACACACAATATTTTGGTGAGTCCTGATGCGAACCACGCCTCAGCTTACTTGCAGATATACAGAAATTATGATCCATCGATACCTTGACGTTGAATGGTCATTTATTGCTGGTGACAGCTCAAATAAGTTATTCAGCATTCGGCTAAGAAAAACGTAAGGTTGAAAGGCTGAAGCAAGTTTTGTGAGCAGTTAGTATGCAGAATGCGTTTCTGATGTGGTCATCAGTGCAGCTACTGCAGAGAATCGTCACATACGATGCCAACATTTTTCAAAATAATTTGGGAAATTTCTGAAATTTTATAATTTTTGTGGAGAAAAATTCTTTGAGCCATGAATCTCTTCAAGAAGGTACATTCGTTATCTCTTCCCGAATGACCAATCCGTTTAAAAGAGATAAATCCGTCTGAAAAAACATAGGCTTTTGTCATTTTTTTCAAAGTCACATCAGGAACATTTTTCTCTGTCGAAGTTTTTGTCACCACTTACGAGGCAATTATGAGTAATTTTAAGTAGGAAAAGTTGGTTTTTTTTCAAATGCACCAGTGGGTTTTATTAGCAAAAACAGTAGCCCCCTGCACAGTGGACTTGATTTGTGCAGCAGAATAGTCTGTTGCGTGAAAAGTCTGTTATGCGAATTTCATTATTAGAAAAATAAAATGTTTCTTTTTCCATTAATTTTAACCAACAGAAGTCTGTTATATGGATTTAATCCACTGCGCAGGAGAGAAAACTACCTACAGATGCAGGGTCTTGTGCAAAAATCTGTTGTGCAGGTCTGTTGTGCGAGGGGAGACTGTATTCAATATTAAGAAAGCTTCTTCTGATATCTAAATTGACAGTCAAAAGTCATCCGCGTGATTTTCTCTATATTTTTGTTCCTTTCAATCTACTGATGTCCAAGGAATGAGTACTTTAATTGGACGATTTTTTTGAAAGTACGCGGGAAAGTGTTCGCCAAATAATCGCTCATTGAAGTAGAATGTTCCAGGGATTTAATTTTCTTCAATATGCAATCAAAATTATAAGAAAAATTTCCTCTGTGCTTCAGCCTTGAAAAAAAAAACCACGTGACCCATTTCATCTCACGTTTTTTGTTAATTTTCTATCCATTAATTTCATAATACAGGTATTTCTTTCAAATTATGTCCCAGTAGTACAGTCAATGTGAACACCCTGCACAGTGGACTTGATTTGTGCAACAGACTAGTCTGTTGTGTGAAAAGTCTGTAATGCAGATTAAATTATTAAGAAATTGAAATTTTTACTTTTTACCATTCATTTTAAAGTAACAGAGGTCTGTATTAGGTGGATTCAGTTCATTGTGCTGGAGGGAAAACCGTTGTGCGGGGGTTGACAGTATTTTGCTGATATATAATGGGGTTTCTTGTAGAGATCCACTGTTTCAACAACACCACAGAAAGAATCCAAAATTGAACTCGGTCTGACGATGGAAAATGGCATTAAAGCTGCTTTTCGACGGTCCATGGCGAATTTCAATTTCATGCCCTCCATGAATGCCGAGAGGAAATCAGCAGAGATTCAGCGCTGATTTCATCCTGGTGCCGTCAGAAACACGCCTACATCCAGTTGCTGCACGTCCTTTTGACTCCTTCCATTTTGTTTGGCATGATCCCGAAAAGCATCATCGACTTTGTCTACGAAGACACGACCCCGGATTTGCCCAGACAAAGCCTGGAATCTGCCTTTTATTGGTTCACCAGGTCCAAATGGCAAGCTGTGTATTCCCTGCTAATGATAACCAGCTTTTTGGGCATGAATATCTTTGGGTTTTCTTTGGCCGTGCAGCATGGGTTGCTGAGAAACATCGGCAACGGACAGACAGACAACTTTGTGTTCCTGTTCAACTACTTTTCTCTCATTGCCAGCAGTGCTGTTTGCGTGGCACTGTGGTTCATAAAATCAGTGAGTCTTTTGTATCTACTGCATTGTTATCTTATTTCAAGACCAAAATTGTACTTTGAGTTTTGAGTTGTCTTTGCATATGTTGGGGAGTGAGTCAGGCACCCGTAAATAAGAATTATAATAATAATACTCACTGCATTGTTGCATGCCAAAAACTGGTCCTTTGGTATAGAAGCCCAGTGCCAAAAAATGAGTCCCAAAGGAATTGTAAACAACGCACAGCATTGTCTTTGATTCCAACATAATCAGCCAATCAGAGGCCAATATTTTACCCACAAGGATTACTACTTTCCTTCTCTTTCTTCTGTCTCAAAAACCAGGAACACAGAATTCATTCCACTGCCAATTCTTGAAGTGCAAAGAGCTCTTATGGCATCTGATTTTACCATTGTGTTCTGTGAAAGTATGTGTGTGCAAAGTCCAAAATTCTCTGAGTTGTATTATTCTTTGGGACATTATTAAATACACAAGTTTTTTGGGGCCTCTATAAAGAGGCTCCCAGCCAATCCGAGGCTGATTGCTGCATTCCCTTTATCATTCTCATATTTCATTTGTTGCGACTTCTTAGTCTCTAACAGCATACTTTCAAAAGAGGGATCTCACTCTCAAACTAGAATGAAAATGCTAAGTTTGAGGATTGGCTGTGCTTTATTCAAGATCAGTGCAAGTGACTCAACTGTAGAAAACCAAGCAAGTGCTCAGAACAGCGGGAGGCAGGCACTCACATACAATGAGACCCCCAGATGAGGATGTAATAATTGGTGCATCATAAAGAGTGTCCCTCAGTTGAATTGTCTCAAAGTCAAGTCTTGATTTCCCACAGAAGTTCATTTTGTCATTTTTAATTGATGTTTTATGAAACAAATATTCTTCAGAATTCCATGAAAAAAATTGTTTGCTACTTGACGTTGATTCAGTGAATATATTTTCATATCAATAAGAATATTTGCAGTATTGAATAGTGTATCTCTGTACAGTACATTGAAATGTTGGCATCTACAAAAATAACATTCAAGTCAGAAAGAGATAAGGAAGTCCCTTTTCTATGCAAGAGGTAATTTTTTTAATCAGCTGAATGGATGGGGAAATGATGGGAGAAATGACAAAAAACTTTCCTTGCATAGATCTTAGGGCTGGAAATATCTGTTTCTTTTAATCAAGCCAAATAAAAGTAAATTTTATCATGCAATGTCCTCATGTTGAGTCAGTGTCCATATGTTGGGCCTTTTTATGCTCTTTTTATTAAAAAATAAATTTCCCTATGTTGAATTGTCCACATGTTGAGGTGTCTGCATGTGGGGGTCTCACTGTAGTTATATCCCAGTGAGCACAAAAATGAGCATTTTTCTTGTTAGGTTATCCAACCCAACTTATCCCAGAATCTTACCAAAATTGGACAATAGTTGGACAAGTTGGCTGGAATAACTTTGGACCAAAATTGGATGGACAACTTGTCCAATTTTTATCCAAAAGATGAAAGTATTATACTTTTCATTATACAAAATTCAACCTCTGATAAGAAACAAATGCTATGATCTCCATCCTGACATACATTTTTGTAGGGATAATTCCCACAAAATACTGTAAATTCGAATATTTCCCACGATTGAGTGAAAGTTTTTAAAATGTGTGGTCAATTTTGACAGACCCCCCGGTTGGCCATAGCCTGGGACAGCTTCGCCAGGCATGAATTTTTCAAGGAACCCGTCAAGATTAATTCCGAAAAGCGATGCATTCACGCCAGAAAATTATGGGCGTTCACCGGCTTCATTCTTCTGCTTGCTGTTTTCAGCATTGGCTTGCAAATTTACGTCGCCCTGGATCCGTTCCTCCAGAAATTACAGACTCCGATTCAGACTGCTTACATAATGGCCTTGTTCTACACGTGAGTTTTCATCGTCGGCACTCGGCAGAAAGGAAAAAAAATACAGTGAGAACCCATTACGCGGACACCCTGACATATGAACAATTCGACTTAGGGACACTCAAAAACCAAACAAAATTAGGCCCAACCTTTGGAAATTGGCTTGAGTTAGGGACAATTTTCTGAAAATTTCCCAGAAAATTGAAACATTTTATTGTTTATTTTGATATCTTCTGAAGAAATTGAGGTATTTATATTCAGAAAAATTGAAACAGTATTTCATGATAAATTCACTCAAATTCCTAATTTAACCCTTAGCGGCAAAGTTGGACTTTTTTGCAGATTTTGGTTGCACTCAAGAGTGAAATTTAAAAACCCCAACAGTGCATGCAGGGCAAAGTCGGGAAAATTCCTGGCATTTTTTTCTAATTTTCTGCAGAAACCTTTCATGCTGAAAAAAATGAAAACTCCAAGGCTCCCTTTTTTCCCCTGGCCTTTTGTTGCTTCCCCATTCAGAAATTAAATTTAAGCTTGAAAGCCACAAGCACAGGTTAGAGGTCGATAGGGAAAAAGTCCAACTCCGGACTTTCCCAGCATTTCTTTATCCCTGGATAAAATCCAACTTTGCCCTCCCCCACCTGGCAGAGGGGTTGCATAACCTTGTGCAAAAATATAATGCAGGCCTATGGGGAAAAAGTCCAACTTTGCCCTGGGATGGAAAGGAGGCTGCCGCTGTCCAAGGGTTAAAGTAAGCTTATTTTTTGCTCCTTTTTCAGAGTTTTTCTATCATCTGCGCATATTCTAGCAAGACTTTTTCTTTTTCTTTGCTTTTTGATCTCCTTCAATGCTAAAAGATCAGATTCTATGTGCATGGTTTGTTTTGCACTGCAGTTCTCTACAACTTTAAGTTGAAGGAAACACTTTTTATAAAATTTTTAAGGGCTTATTCATAATTTTTTACACAAAGGAGAACCAAATAAATACATTTGAATTGAAGTCTAAGGTGAAATGAGACTGAACTCTGGGACATTCCAACATAAAGACACTCTTGATGCACCATTCATAATGTCTGCCTCTTGGGGTCTCACTGTATATGTATATTTTGAAGTTGGAATAGACCTCTTTCTAGTTTAATTTTCTAGTTACTACTTGATTAGTTCATAAAACATTCACCTTCCATTCCCTCCCTTTGTAATTTTTGAAAATTATAAATTCAGTTTTTTTTTTGTGTGTAATGGACGCTAAAAATGACCATTTAATTTCCCAACATATGAAACTCTTGCGCATAATATAGGCCACATTCAAATAATAATGAAAAATTGGAGAAACGAAAACTTGCCTAATAATAGGCAAAAAATTTGGCACAATTAAAACGCAACCCCCGAAATTTATGCAAAAAAATCTGCTTTGCGGCCTATACTGTATAAATGTACACACGCGGCCTATATATGCGCAAAATCATGTGATTCTCAATTCAGGGACTTGCTCGGATGCTGGAGCTTTGTCTCAACAATTGTCAGCATGACAATTGCTGCAAAAATCGCTACGGAGTTCTCCTATGAATTTGACGCAGCTGTAACAAAATTGGCCAAAGACTGCAGCAGAAAACAGAATTTGCGCGAAAATTTGCACGCATCCTCGACTACGGTGACGCTTGACAGTGAGTCGATCCAACTTTGCACGCTGTAATCAGTATTTCTGTGGATTTATTAAGATTTTAATTTGTTTGACAGGTTATGGAAATGAGAAATTAGTTTCAAAGTCTGATCGGAAAAGTTCTGCGCAATCCCTTGAGTCATTGGGATTGGGACCAGAGTTGGACATTGAAGCAGAATTTGAAAATTTGCGAATCTCGTACGCGACTTTCCACGAAAGCTTCAAAAAGTTTTGCGACTTAAATTGCATTCATTCGAGCATTGCCTTTATTTTTGGATGCAGTATCATCATGACCTCGTCGTATTTCGCTGTATCCGAAACGTTGGATGGTGAGTTCAACTCGCGAAATGTTTTCCGCGTCAATTTTTTGCAATTTCAATTTCGAAACCTCCGATTCTAACCAGGGAAGAAATTGGATCTTCACCTTGTATCTCACTGGATAGCTGCTTTTATGGGAGTCATAATAGTTGTCTGTGTCTGTGAAATCGGACAAAGGATACGAGAAAAGGTCAGTTTGGAAAAAAAATAATTGAAAAATAAAACCTGGAGCAGGTGCAGCACATTGATTTCTTTTTCTACTCAAGAATACTGCGAAAAATAATTGACGATTTGATGAATTTACCCAATTTTAAAATCCAATTCGATTTATCCGAGTTGTCGATAATAATCTCTGATTTCATGTCTGCAACAAAAATACATTACATTAAATAAACATGGTGAAAACGATCAAATCTCTAACCAACGATTTTCATTTCCTAAATCTCTGAATCTGAATCATCTGCTTTTGTTTAAAACGAAGTTGCAATCGTGAAAAAATGTGCTCCAAAATTTTTCCTTATACGAAACGTAATTTCATGATCCTCCATTGAACATTCCACGCAAGAAAAAAAATGAGCAGTTACTCAAACGAATTGAGAACATATCCAGAAATTTTTGTCTGCCACGCTTTTTTTTCAATCTTTACCAAATTTGTGAAATTTGCATACGTTATAACAAAATGCAAACACACGATTAATTTTTTATTCTTCAGCTGTTTTTGTTTTCTTTCAAAATTTGTCATGGAAGTCACACCAATTTATATGTGACTAGAGATATCATCACTCTTGAGGAATAATTTATAGGGTGGTCGTGATTTGACTCAAACTTGGTGCCTTTCTGATTTTAAAGGTCATGATTTCAAATTATGAGAGGAAATACGGTTTAAATAAATTATAACTTCGTTGATGTGTCTTTCATTCATTATTCTGCTCGTTTGTTTTATATAAAGGCTCCGTCCACAACAAGGGTTTTGGCGTTTCCTCTA